CACATTTTTTTGCAGGTAATTATTTGCAGGGTTATTATTTTGCAGGCATTTATCATTTTTGGCTGCAGGAGCCTGTAAAGCATTGTACCAAATATCAGCAGATTGCTGGTGCCATACAGGTCTCTTGCAGACCTGTCAGTATATCTGTTTGCCCATACAGGACGTACAGGCAATCAGATACTTACTGACAGGAAGAATCAGTGAACTGCCACGATTCTCCACAGTTCCGTGGTAGTTCATTGAGATCTACAAACCGACAGCTGCTAAGGCTGTTGTGAATGACTGACGCAGCTGTGTGGGCAGAGCCCCGCACGGTTGCACTGTCTTTAAATCTGACAGCCAGTATGGGGGAACTTCTCCCCAGACTTATGTCACAGGGAGAGGGGAGGGCAGCAGACTGTGGCTGCAGCATACGGAACATGTTACATGTTCCACCCTAAAAACGGATGGAACATGTAACATGTTCCCAAAGGCGAACTTATCTTTTAAAGAGTCCCTATCAACCTCAGGAGGTACCATGGCTCAGAAAGGCTGTCGTAGAGACACAACAAGAAGAAACATCTCTAAGCAGATGTGTAGCTTGAAGCTTTTGGGCCCCGCAGCAAAAGTTGACTTGGGGCCCCCACTACCACCCACCACTTCCACTGCACACTTGCTCCAGGCCCTCTGGCAACACAGTATAAAACAGGGGTAGGCAACCTTTAAGAGGTAGAGATTTACCTGAACAACATGAAAGAGATCAAAGATCACCAGGGTTCAGCACCTCTTTTTTTTTTAGTAACTAGTGAGGCCTATTTAAAAAGGACAACTTTGATAATTTTATCTGGGGTAATAAATGTCCATGATTTACTTCATCTGTTTTGTACCACTCACAACGGACAGGAGGTCTCAGCCTTCCTAATTTTTGGCTATATTATCTCTCAGCTCGTTTTGCGCAACTATCACAATGGGCAACTGTTGACTCTCAGACCCCGTGGATCAAGTTTGAATCTCAGTCTATACGCCCATTTTATTTACCGGGTATTTTGTGGTCCAAAATCTCCCCTCGATCTCTTACTTTTCATAACTCCATAGAGACACATTCACTGACACTTTGGTCCAAATACAAATTTAAATTAAATCTGGTCTCTTCTGTTCCTCCAGGTGTTTCATTTTTTGGTGATCCTACTTTCATTGCAGCTTTTTCCTCCCCTCAAACGTTTCGTTGTTGGTATGATCAATCTTTTATTAGATTATCTAATTTTCGAAGAGGAGGATCTTATATTACTTTTAATATGCTGCGCATGTTTTTTGACTTTCCTCTTCGTGAATATCATCGCTACCGACAGATTAGACATTTTTTTAACTGACATTTTGGTCTTATAACCTCTTCTCCAATTTCATTTTTTGAACGCATCAGCCAAGACTCTCCTAGGGGTAGGGGTCTTATTTCTGATCTTTATCACCAATTTTTGATCTGTCTTTCTCCTATGCCCCCTCTATATAGACCAAAATGGGAGGAGGATAGTGGTATCACTCTTTCAGATGAGGACTGGGATTCCTTGGTGGATAACATATGCAGGAGTTCTAGATCTCTTTCTGTTCGTGAGACGGCCCTTAAGGTCTTAACCAGATGGTATTATACCCCATTAAGACTACATGTATTGTTCCCACAAACGTCCCCTTTATGTTTCTGGGGCTGTGGCCTCACAGGTAATTTGGTTTATATATTTTGGGATTACCCTACCACATCTTTGATTTGGCGCAAGTTATCTGAGGTGGCTACCTCATTGGCAGGTATCCCAGTATGATTGTCTATACAGACCTGTTTATTGGGGGCTCATATCCCGGGGATCTTATGAGACTGATACATACTATTTGTATTGCCACTTTATGGGCTGTGGCCTCACATTGGAAGTCCAATACTGTACCCTTAACCTCCGTTTTGCACATAGTTGATGCTGTAATGCTCATGGAGCGTATTCATTATACCTTACTGGATAAGATGCACTTATTTGAAAAAAAATGGGAATCATGGAAGGATTATAGACATTTATTGCATGATTAACAACATCCCAAGTGAAGATTGACTGGCATATACTGTTGTCAAGATGTAACATTCAACCTATTTAATTGTCTACGTTTTCATGTACTTGCAATCTACTTTTTTCTACCTTCTATTTCCTCCTTTCTTATATTAATATACTTTTCTGTATTGTACTTTTCAAAAGTGCCTTGTTTTTGCTGTAAGTATCTCTTGAAACTGTACTTTTGTCTTACAGTCTACTTTTGCGAATTAAAACAATTTGTAAACAAAAAAAAAAGGACAACTTTGAAAATGAAACAAATGTCACTAAAAATATAAATTTAGCATACCTTAAAAGTGGACAGTGTCAGTCAGTAGAGCAGTGGACAGTGTCAACAGGGCAGTGGATTGGTGTCAGTAGGACAGTGGACAGTGTCAGTAGAGCAGTGGATGGTGTCAGTAGTGCAGTGGATGATGTCAGTAGTGCAGTGGATGATGTCAGTAGGGCAGTGACATAGAAACACATTTTAACTCCACAGCTGCTGGGGAGGAAGCCAGATGTAACCCCTTAATGGTCAGGCACCCTTACTATGTAACCAGCAGCCACTACTTGAAACTCACTGGTTATTTTCCATCTATCATTTCTCACAGTGTGGAGTGTGGGAAGGTCAGTGAGGGGGTGGGGTCTGTTAGTGGGGGCAGGGGTCGGTGGTTGGGGGGGTGGAGTTCTGTAGTTTGCAAGCAGGGGTCAGTAGTTGAGGATGAAGCGTGTCAGTCTGGGGGAGCGGAGGGTCTGTCTGTGAGGCAGGGGTATCATGGGGGACAGAATATCTTGGGCTGCATTATAATCAGAGGAAATATTAAGGGGGTGTGGAATGTCACAGCCTGCATCTGACTTCTGCATCTACTATCTGACAGACCCCAACCCCCCAACTACCGCCCCTCCCCCATTAACAGACCCCCCCCCCCAGCTATGGCCCCTCCCACCACTGACAGACCCACACACACTGTTTTTCCTGTCATTTGCAAGTTAATCAGTGGGTGCTTTAAGTTGTACATAGTAGAGGTATCTGGAAACTGAGAGGTTAATTGTTAGCCACCTGCTAAGCTCCCTCCCAGCAGCTATGGGGTTAAGTCTGTGCAGCCGCTCAGCTCCTGCTTATACAAAATAGCTGTGAAATACTGTTTCCCTGGGAATCGGCAGTGTTAATAGTGATGACCAATGTCTGTGTCCCTTCTCAGCTGTCACAGTGCCATGCTTCTCAATCCCTCACATGAAATCCAGTACTGCCTACCTCTGTTGTTGCCCACCATGTATGAAATTAAATGCTTTCAGGGAACTCTTTGGCTCCAACTCCATGCTTGGCTTTGTTCCCTGATTTCTTCACTGTGTGATCTGGAACCGGCCAGCAGGGTTGCGGAGGGAGGGAGGGGCCAGTGGATAACACAGGGGGCACAGGCAGCAAGAGGAACAAGGCGGTGGGGGCGGCAATTACTAACTTAGATCAGCTGTATGTTCATGCAGTAGCTGAATGCTGGTGGGGAGGAGAAGCGGGCTTCCAGCTGCTGCAGGAAAATACAGCTGATCGTTCCTCTTGCTGCCCTGGCCCCCTGGAACATGAGTGGGGTCGCCATTGCAACCCCTGCAACCTTTATTGCTATGCCCATGTCTCCAAGTGAGGATGAATCCCCTGTTAGACAAGTGTCATTCTTGTTTGAAGCTTACAAGTTATGCTGTGTAGCAGGGTTCAGGAATAAACATGTCTGTTATTTCCATGTGTACTTTGCAATTAAAAAGATATACTGTATGTTCCCCTGAAAAGGGTTTAAATTTTATATTTTACATTATAATAAGGTTGTGTTGTGTGCAGGTTTTAAATATAACAATTTTTTTTATTGAGTTCTGTACATTGCCTCTCATGCAATTTGAGGTGGAGGGGACAGAATCATCAGATTCAGTCCAGATATGCCACACCTTGGTAAATTTTGCTGGACACCCCCTAGATTCATAGGTGTATTTATAAAGTGGGAGGACCATATTATGCTTCCAAAAACCAGAGGTAGGGGCCCGGGGGGGACTTCCATTTCAAGAGTATAGCTTTACGAGCATAAAAAAGTAACAGGCCAATCAAGGTTTGCATGGCATTAGAGACGGCCAATGCCTGAACCAAACCCAATAGACAAACCTCAATAGATAATGGTACTGAGATCACAGTTATGGAGGAGATACTGTCAACAACTTCTGCCCAAAACATCTGAATAATATGACACACCCAGAAGACATGCAAAAAGGACGCTGGGTCCTCGGGACAATGCCAGCACTTACAGGGATGTGCTGGAAATATTCTATGCAACCTCTGGGGGGTATAATAGATTCTATGAAGAAGCTTAAACTGAATCAATCAGTCCTGGATAGAGACCAATTGTTGCACAGGATACTCCCAAATGTCCTCCCAGTCCTCTGAATCTAGCTCTGGTGCACATACATTAACTTTAATGGCATCCCAGTCTTAGTCCATAGGGTTCAGTATTGTGTTGACCCACCCTTTGCAGCTAAAACAGCTTCAACTCTTCTGGGAAGGCTGTCCACAAGGTTTAGGAGTGTGTCTATGGGAATGTTTGACCATTCTTCCAGAAGCGCATTTGTGAGGTCAGGCACTAATGTCGGACAAGAAGGCTTGGCTCGCAGTCTCCACTCTAATTCATCCCAAAAGGTGTTTTATCAGGTTGAGGTCAGGACTCTGTGCAGGCCAGTCAAGTTCTTTCACCCCAAACTCACTCATCCATGTCTTTATGGACCTTGGTTTGTGCACTGGTGCACAGTCATGTTGGAACAGAAGGGTCCATCTCCAAACTGTTCCTACAGAGTTGAGAGCATGAAATTGTCCAAAATGTCTTGGTATGCTGACTCCTTAATGAGTTCCCTTCACTGGTACTAAGGGGCCAAGCCCAACCCCAGAAAAGAACAACTCCACACCATAATCCCCCCTCCACCAAACCTTACACTTGGCACAATGCAGTCAGGCAGGCATTCCTCCTGGCAACCGCCAAACCCAGACACGTCCAATCAGATTGCCAGACAGAGAAGCATGTTTTATCACTCCAGAGAACACGTTTGCACTGCTCCAGAGTCCAGTGGTGGCGTGCTTTAAGCCATTGCATCCGACGCTTTGCATTGCACTTGGTGATGTAAGGCTTGGATGCAGTTGCTCGGCCATGGAAACCCATTTCATGAAGCTCTTTGTTGTTGTGCTAATCTGAAGGCCACAAGAAGTTTGGAGGTCTTTAGCTATATACTCTGCAGACAGTTGGCTACTTCTGTGCACTGTGTGCTTTAGCATGCATTGACCCATCTCTGTCATTTTATGTGGCCTACCACTTCGTGTCTGAATTACTGTTGTTCCCAGTTGCTTCCACTTTGTTATAACAGCACTAACAATTGACCATGGAATATTTAGTAGCAAGGACATTTCATGGATGGACTTATTGCACAGGTGGCAACCTATCATAGTACCATACTTGAATTCACTGAGCTCCTGAGAGTGACCCATTCTTTCACAAATGTTTGTAGAAGCAGTCTGCATGCCTAGGTGCTTGGTTTTATACACCTGTGGCCATGGAGGTCTTTATAACTCCTGAATCCAATGATTTGGAGGGGTGTCCCAATACTTTTGGCAATATAGTGTAATTTGAGGCCTGAGGGTTGGACAATGGAATTATCATCAATGGATCATTGGACAGTGAATGCTGATTCGATGCTATCTGCATTGTACCTGGTATGTGTCACTGTGCTTAAGCCATTAAATTGTATAAACAACAGGCTTCTTTCATCAAAGAAGCAACATGAGAGACACAGAAATAAATCCCAGGACTTCTTTCGTAAATCAGCTTCATTGTATAAGTATACACAGCATTTGTGTATATTATGGAAGACTTACCTCCCAAAGTGCCTTGTTCCAGCAATGTGACTTCTGTATAACCCCTCTCAAAGTTGCTCTGTTTCTGCTGCTTCCACCTTCTCCTAGTCTTTTTCTGAGTAAGCAGTCTGTGCTTTCTCTATTAGCTACATACTGTAGACACAAATAAAAATGCTTTTTAGTAGAATAGGGGATGCCTAGGACCCATTTTAGCTTTTCATCACTATTTTTCCCAGTTAGAGATCTTGTCAGCATACTAGCAAGTGAGGGAAGACCTCTCTTATTCATCTCCAGATAGCAACAAAACCTGAAAGGGTGCCAATACTTCCACACTCTATAAAAAAAAAAAAGTTTTGGCTGGACATATATTTTAAAGAAAATGCTGAATTGAAGTTATGCCTGTGGGCTGTAATTTTTTTCTCTCTGTATTTTTACTGGGCCTTCCCTGTGACCACAAATTTTTGTGCCTACACAAAATAATCTAAAAGGATAAATAATCCAATAGTACATTCACTTGGAAGAAAAAAATATTGGTTTCATGCTTGTATAGTTACCCAGCACTAAAATTTGTTTGTACTGCATTACAATCTATGTTTAAATCACTAATCAAAAATGTGAGAAACTGTTTTGCCAGTATAAAAATCGGTATTATCTGTAGTTGTGCCATTAAACACATAATTACCTGTATGTTCCAGTACATAATTTAAAGCATGACAGATGTAGAAGGAAAAAAATAACCACGCTTCCATTATTTGAGTCTCACATTGGTTTCTTGTTTGCCCACTAACTTACAATAAGTAATTTTTCTTAATACCTCAAATCATTGCTGGTATGAGCATTGTGGTGTGTGGCTGAGGTGGAGTATTATAAGGTCACTGCTGATGTTACACTGAGCTAATATGGAGTCTCATTATATGGGAGAGACCACAAGGTTTAATGCTTGCGACCTGCAGGGATTGCTGCTAATTGCAGCAGTTTGTAAAGATTACCAGAATGGTATCCAACCCCCACACCACATAGTTGTCTCTTTTTAAATTCTAGCAGTTCATTAGGATTACCTTAATATTTTTGCGGCACAATGCAGACAGCATCAGATGATCTTGAAGCATTTCACATAATCCTGGATTGTCCCAAAGGCAATGTAAGTGTGTTTATATCTGGTATGGTGGTAGAGTTTGTCATATTGCTTTACTTGTATTGAGAATGCTAAAAAAAGTTGGCACAATGTCTACAACTGATTATGCATATTTAGATCATGAGTTTGCAAATATTAAACTAACCATACTAGAAAACATAAACCTTTAAAATAGAATTGTGCCTTTAAAATAGAGTTGTCAGGGATCATAATCTTACTCTACTGTAGATCTGTAGACCAATACATAAAAAGCAAAAACTGTAAAAAGCCCTATATTATTATACTATTATTATTATACAGAATTTATATAGCGCCAACAGTTTGTGCAGCACTCTATAATAAAAAGGGGACAGTACAATTACAACACAGTTCAATACAGAAGGAATAGGAGGGCCTTGCTTATGGAGCTTACAATCTAAAGGGAGGGGGAGGTGGTACAAAAGGTAAAGGCTGCAAGGGATGATCTGATGGAGGTGACTCAAAGTACAGTTTTTAGGTGGCGGTGGGGTAGGCTTCCATGAATAAATTAGTTTTCAAGGACCACCTAAAAGCAAACAGGGTAGGAGCTGACTGGAAGTACTGGGGTAGAGAGTTCCAGATGATGGGAGAGGTTCTGCAAAAGTCCTGGAAGTAAGCATGGGAGAAAGTAACAAGGGAGCTTGTGCGCAAGATGTCTTGGTAGTAGTGAAGAGGATGATTTGAGCAATATCTGCAGATGAGGTTGGTGATGTAGATAGGGGCAGTTTTGTAGATGGCTTTGTAAGGTGTGGCTAGTATTTAGAATTTTATACATTGGACTAGTGGAAGCCAGTGAAGGGATTGGCAGAGAGGGGCAGCAGTCATGGATCGGTTAGTAAATTGTATATGTCTAGTAGCAGCATTCATGATAGACTGAAAGGGGGATAGCCTGTGTAAAGGTAGGCCAGTAAGAAGAGAGTTGCAGTAGTCAATGCAGGATATAACCAAGGAGTGAATACGTTGTTTTGTTTTGTGGAGTCATTATTCAGGAAGGCCAAATTCTGGAAATGTTGTGGAGGTTAAGGCGACAATATTCAGCCAGTAATTGTATGTGGGGCCCAAAGCAAAGGTCAGAGTCTAGGATTATGCCTAACACACTGACATGTGCGGAGGGACCAATGGTTGTGCTGGTGATCTTGATGGTAAAGTCGGGGGATGGGGGTAGGGGGTCAGGGAGGAGGAAATATTACAAGGTTAGTTTTAGAAAGATTGAGTTTTAGGAAGAAGTGTGACTTCTATACTGAGATGTCACTTAGTAAATTTGTGATACATGAGGAGATCGAAGGGGTGAGCTAAGGAGCAGAGAGATAGATCTGGGTATTGTCCGCATGAAGGTGTTATTGAAAACCATGGGAGGTTAGCAGGTATGAGGAGACCCAGGTAAGAGGTGTAGAGAGAGAAAAAGTAGGGGCCCAAGGATGGAGTCTTGGGGTACCCCAACAGAAAGAGGAAGAGGCGCAGAGGAGATAGAGTTGTAGATGACACTGACGGTGCACTGAGATAGGTAGGAGGAGAACTTGGAAAGAGCAGAATCACAGAGGCTAAGGGAGTGATAAGTATGGATTATTCACCATTGGTTTTTGCAGTTAGTAGGTCATTAGTGAGTTTTAGTAGGGAAGTTTCAATGGAATGTTGTAATCAGAAGCCAGAGTGTAGGGGAGTAAAAAGGTTGTTGTCAGTGAGGTTGTAACTCATACAGTTGTGGACATAGCGTTCAAGAAGCTTGGAAGAGATGGGAGCAGGGACATGGTCTTACATTATTCAAACAGGTGAGGTCCAGTGAGTGTTTTTTAAGTATAGGTCAGTGCATGTTTGAGCAGGAAGGGAAAGGTTTTGGTGGACAAGGAGAGGTTAATGATGTGGGTTAAAAAGTTTAGGATGGAGAAGGAAGGGGTCCATGGTAATTGTGAGGTTACAGGATCAAGGGATCTGGTGGTGAATTGGGCCTTGGAATGCAGATTGTGAGCTTCCTCAGTGGTAACAGGGTCAAAGGAGGAAATTACTGAGTGTGGTGTTGGACCGTTGGCTGGAGGATAAAGCTGGACACTGGAGATCTAATCTCTAATTGTGTTGATCTTGTTTTGAAATGACTGGAAATCTCCTGGGCAGAAAGTAGGTTGGTGGGTGGTGGCAATGGGGGAGGGATGTAGTAAGGAATTAAGGGCAGAAAAGAGTTGACAAGGATTCAATGAGAGAGTTTTGATGATAGTGCTGCACCCCAATTCCTTGGCAGACAAAATCAGATTTCAGAATTCTGGCGGACAGATCGTACTGCACAGCACCCTAACATACTGCACCGTAGAGGCCAACACCCAATGTGTGTGTGTCATGCTGTACTGCTCCAATGTTCAAGAGAAAAAAGGGTAATGTCTGACTTCGTAGATGTAAATGGGACCTTAGGAGTTAAAAGGAAGCTCTTTGGCCATCTATAAGCTCATGGTTCTAGGTATTACCTCTGGTGTGAAAATCATAGAAGTATGAGGTTTAATTACAATTTTAATTGAAACAGAACTGCCTTTATATAACGGTGATATGAATAAAAATGATTTCAGTTTTATCAGGTATTTCCATCACAAAAAATAAATAGTGAGTGATGTGACACAAGATCTCACCAATTTTGTAAAAATACTTGATGGTAAATTAAACATTTTGGAGTACCCTTATTAAGCTAGCACATGCTTTAAAATAGATGATGTCTGAAATTCAAGTGTTCCAAGATAGTATTAATATTGTATGTGATTCAAATATTTTCTCCTGAAATAAATTCATTTTTTTTCTTAATATTTAATGCACAGTTTTTTGTTTATGAAAAGTAAATAGGAAAATTGTGCAGCTTAGTAAACTGCAGAATTGAAGTAGTATTCAGCCTTTACTACTTCCAAAATATTTCCGTACACTCAGTTTTATGTAACTGTACTAACTGAATAATTGTTTTCTACTTTTATATTAACCACAGAAAGTGGAAATTAACAGAAAGAGACACATATAATGTATACTGTAAATGGTAGAACAGTCAGGTTGTTTTCTGTGCTAGAATTAGAAATAAAAATGTGATGTTGACTTCATGAGCTCTGACTGTGTAGAACAATTCTTTTAGATTGCAGAGGAGAATCCATGTGGTTTAGAGGGCATCTTCTGTTTAACCAGCACTAAAGTGTTTGAAGAAGTTACAAGTGCATTAGTGGCCTGGGTCACCATTTGCTTTGGTAACCTTTGGCTTGAGTCAATCAATCTTTCTGACACCCATTAAAAAAGTCTCAGGCTGCTGCTATTATAGTCGGATTAAGTGGTAATTCTGCAGCTTTGGCTGTTCGGTGAGGGCGTCACTCTGCTAACGATCCCTTTATTGATCTTTAATGATTTCCTAGAATGAGCAGCATTATCCCCAACAAACAAACGTAGAGATGAGAACCTGCCTAAATAATTTACAGCTATTGTGGAAGTCCAGTGTGTGCCATCCACTTAGAATGTTATATGGCACTAGGCCCAGCTAAACCTCGCTCTTCCTACCTGCCCAAGATCCTTA